AAACACAAAAAACACAACAACAATTTAAAATTTAAAATCATTAAATAATTAGGCTCCAATTAAAATCCCAGAAATTTAAAATACCCCAATTTAAAACGTTATGTTAGTAACCCTGCCTGGCGGAACAACAGGGTCTTCAGAGCGCAGCGAAACACCCAGAGGTCGGAAATCTTTCGTATTTCGGGGGGCAGTTCATTCCACAGGGCTGGAGCTCCCACAGAGAAGGCCCTCCCCCTGGATGTCGCCAGCCGACATAACTTGGCTGATGGCACCCGGAGGAGACCCTCTCTGTGGGAGCGGAATTCTTATCTTGGAATGTTAACGGTTTAAATTCTCCACAAAAAAGAAAGAAAATATTTCATTATTTGAAGCAATTTCAGCACGATGTCATTTGTTTGCAAGAAACGCATATTAAATCCTCAGATCAAAAGTACTTGATAAATTCAAAATTAGGTACACATTTTGTGGCATCAGCACCAGAAAAGAAAAATGGCCTAGTTATATATGTTAAAAGAGGCTTAGTGGCCAATTTAATTGAGGCTGACACTCAAGGTAGATATATTGCAATTGAATTAACAACACAGAATGGCAAGCTGCTTGTATTTGGAGTATACGCACCTAATCAACAACAAGATAAATTTTACAAACTTTTACATACCAAAATATTACAATGGGATTATAGATCTTTACTTCTAATGGGTGATTGGAATGGGGTATTAAATACCCAGAAAGATAAAAAAAGTCTTTCCAAGATTTCCATGCGTGCCAAGTTGCCTAAATCTTTTTTTGATATCTTGGAGGATATGGAGCTTAGAGACATTTGGAGAGAAAGGAACGTATTGGAGAGTGATTTTACTTTTTTTTCAGATAGGCATCAATCTTCTTCTAGGATTGATTTTATATTAACTACAAATGATCTTTTTTCTAGGGTGAAGAGTACGAAGATATGTCCAAGAACTTTAACTGATCACAGCCCGGTTTGGGTGGAACTAGAGCAGGAAAGAGGGGAAAGGAAGTCTTGGAGGTTAAATGAGAATTTATTTAGATATGAAGATAACTTGTGTGAGCTTAAAAAACAAATGAAAGAATTTTTTATTAACAATATGAATAAAGGAACTTCGATGGAGATGGTATGGGATGCGTGTAAGGCATATATGAGAGGAACATTAATTTTTTTGAATAATAAATATAGATTAAAACAACAAAACAGACGGAAAGAGATAGAGAAGGAAATTAAAAAGAAAGAACAATTGCTTATAATTAACCCGGGAGATAAAAAGGCAAAAGATATGATTAATATTTTAAGAGAGCAATTTAATATGTTAATGGCTGGGCAAGTAGCAACCAGCATACAATATGCCAGACATAATACATTTTGTAATGCTAATAAACCTGGGAGATGGTTGGCTTACACGATGAGGAAAAAACAGAAATCACGTGCTATAGACAAGATAGAATTTAGAGGTAAAGAGATTTATCAACAGAATTTAATAAAAAAGGCTTTTTTGGAGTTCTATACAAAGTTATATGCTAAAGATGCAATCCAAGATGTTGATATTGATAGATATTTAAAGATGGAGATTTCGGAATTAACGCTGGAACAGAGAGAGAGATTGAATCAGCCAATAACTTCCGAGGAAATTGTTGGGGCAATTAAACAATTAAAAATAGGTAAGGCTCCGGGAACAGATGGACTAACAGCTGTTTATTATAAACATTTACAATCTGAAATGTTAGAACCACTCAAAATTTTATTTAATAAAATACAAGTAGGAGGAGGAGTACCACCTTCTTGGAAAACAGCCTTTGTTTCACTAATTCCAAAGGAGGACCAAAATTCCATTAAACCTGAGAATTTCAGGCCAATTTCACTTCTGAATACTGATTATAAGATTTTTGCTAAAATATTAGCTAATAGATTAATGCCAGTTATGCAACAAATAATTCACAATGATCAAGCAGGGTTTATAAAAGGGAGACAAATGAGATATAATGTTAGACAAATTGTAAACCTACTGGAATACTTGGAAAAAAATAATCAAGTCCCTGCAGCGTTTATATTTTTGGATGCAGAGAAGGCATTTGATCGTTTGAACTGGCAATTTTTGTTCAAAATAATGGAGAAAATGCACTTTGGGGAATATTTTACACAATCAATTTCAGCGATATACTAGCAGCAAACAGCACAAATTATAGTTAATGGAGGTTTAACAGAGGCTTTTAAAATTGAGAAAGGAACAAGGCAGGGGTGTCCTCTGTCTCCACTATTATTTATTTTGACTTTGGAGGTACTATTGAACAAGATACGTGATTCAGAAAAATTGAAGGGTATTGTAATTAGACAACAAGATTATAGATTAAGAGCATTTGCAGATGACTTGGTTATTACTTTATCCCAACCTATAGAATCGGCTCCATACATATTGGATATAATTGATCAATACGGGAAAGTATCAGGATTTAAAGTTAATTCACATAAGACAAAGATGATAGTTAAAAATATGACTATACTTGAAAGAGATAAACTAGCAAGATTAACAGATTTTGAAATAGTTAAAAAGGTTAAATACCTAGGGGTATACATAGCAGCTTCAAATACAAAATTATACAAAAACAATTATGAGGTACTTTGGCAGAAGGTACAGAAGGATATGGAAAATTGGAAAAAATTACAGTTGTCTTTATTGGGAAGAATTGCAGCAATTAAAATGAATGTTTTACCTAGGTTTTTATTTTTGTTCCAAATGATACCTGTGCTTAAGAAAGATGAGAATTTGAGAGAATGGCAGAAAGGTGTTAATACTTTTATTTGGGCTGGGAAAAAACCCAGAATAAAAATGAAAATTATACAAGATACACGTGAAAGAGGGGGTCTTAAAATGCCTAATTTAAGATTATATTATGAAGCAGCGGTTTTATCACAAATTAGTGATTGGTTTAATTTAACTGAGGGGAGAATCTTGAATTTAGAAGGTTATGATTTGTTATATGGATGGCATGCCTATTTGTTATATGACAAAAAAGTGGATAAAGTATTTAAGGTTCATATATTAAGAAATGCTTTGTTAAGGGTTTGGAAAAAATATCAATATAAGTTAAATTATAAGATACCTTTATGGGCAAATCCTAGACATGCAATAGAAAATATAAGTATAGAACAAAAACAGGAGGTGATTACCTATAAAGAGCTTCTTATTATGGAAAGGGGGGTAATGTATTTGAAATCTTTAGATATACTGAGAGAAGAAGGTATAATTTATACATGGTTTCAGTACGGTCAACTTCAAGCTAGATAGAAGGAAGATCAAAAAACGGGCTTTGTGCAAAATGAGGAGAATTTGAGAAATTGAAATTAGAGATCAAAAACAAATGCATATTAAAAGGTTGTATAATGTTTTATTGGAAATAGATTCTGAGACGGAATTAGTTAAAGACTGTATGATTAAATGGGCACAAAATTTTCAAGAGCCAGTAATGATGGAGACTTGGGAAAAGATTTGGGTTAGAAATGTGAAATTTACACAAGCACAAAATTTAAGAGAAAATTTTTATAAAATGTTTTATAGATGGCATTTAGGTCCTAAAAAAATATCATGTATGTATTCTAATGTGCAAGCTAAATGTTGGAGATGTGACTATGATGATGCAACTTATTATCATATATGGTGGACTTGTAGAAAAATCAAAGCATTTTGGATAAAGATTTGGTGGGTGATGCAGAATATTCTTAAAAAGAGACTGAAATTTACTCCACAGTTGTTTTTACTGGGTATAACTACGGACTGTACAGTTGCAGAGACTAAATTGATTTTGAACTTGATAACAGCAGCAAGATTGTTGGTAGCACAACACTGGAAGAAGGACTTTTTGCCTACTATTGATGACTGGATATTGAAAGTAACTAATTTAGCTGAAATGGCTAAAATTTCAGCATATTTGAAGGATCATACACAAGAAAGGTACATACAGGACTGGAGAAGATGGATTGATTATATACAAAATAAGTATCAGACCAAAAAATATCAAATAGCTTATGAATGATTTCTTTTATTTGTATAAGCGTTATATAAGTGATATTAGAAGTATTATGTTTAAGAAATAGGATTTTATATATGGGGGGTTAAGAATTTTTTTTAGGGGTGTTAGTTTAATGATTGGTTATGTAATTTAGTTTATTGTTAAAGGCCAATAGAAATACCTTGTGTTCTGCTCTGGGAAGTCGGGGAGGGGGAGGGGGGGGGGGGGGGGGGGGTTGGGGGGAAAATGTGTTTGTTTTAAAACTTTTTCAATAAAAAAAAAAGAAGGGGAAGAAGAGAGGAGTGGGGGAAGAGAAGGGGAAGTAGGAAAGAGAAGGAGAGGAAGAACGAAGGAAGTAGGAGGAGAAACAAGGAAGAGAAGGGGAGGAGGAGAAGAAAGGTTGGAGTAAAGGTAAAGGGTAAAAGAGCAGCCCCAAAAAAGTAAAAATGAAAAATGAAAGTTAAAAGATGAATGAAAAATGATGGAAATGACTGTACATGTAAATGTGTTTATGAAAAATAAAAATAAAAACTTTATAAAAAAATACAATCTGTGGAACGACTTGCCTCCAGAAGTTGTAGATTCTCCAACACTGGAAGCTTTCAAGAAGAGACTGTCAGAAATGGTGTAGGGTCTCCTGCTTGGGTGGGGGGTTGGACTAGAAGACCTACAAGGTCCCTTCCAACTCTGTTAATCTGTTCAACCATCTATTACGCAAATACAGCCTATGGTGTGTTCATAATTCATTTTCTCATGTAAACCAAGAAAACTGGATTGAGTAAACCTGATAAAATAAACCAAGTACTTATCATGACCAAAATAGAATGAAAGTGGTTGCACCAGAGGTGCTACTAACATTTCTCTGTTGCTTTAACTTTTTATTTTGGAAAAAAAAAATCACAGGGAAAGAGAATGAAAGGAAGAACTCACATACTAAATAAAGATATCCAAAGATAAACACTGAAAGATGACCCCGTCCCTACCTCCCAAACTAAGGAGGAATTCAAACTTTGAGACAAGACCTGTTTTCTTCGGCCAGATTGTGATGGCTTCCATGTGCTCCGATCCATTAGCTCCACCATTTGATATTCCTCATTTGTGTTTATAAAGTCTTCCAGCAAAAAAACTCCTGGAAACTGGAAAGCCCAGCCTTCAAATTCTGATTGTTTCTCTCCCACAGCGAAGCCGGTCAGTGGGCAGTAAACAAAGTTTGCAGTTTTCTGAGGAGAAAATGAAAATGTGAGAGGGGAAACTAGTAACTGAATCTGATCGCCACGTTTGCTATTTGTCAAATGTTCTAGTTTGCAGAAATGCAGCCTTCTAATCACTTGCTTAAATATGCTTTTAGGCAGAATTCCTGCGTGTTGTATTAAAGCTAGTTCTTTACTTACAACAGGTCTCTTAGCGACCATTCAAAGTTATAACACAGCACAGCCCCAAAAGCTACTTATGACCCAATTTCAAAGTTACATCAGCTGCAGCACCACCACAATCCTTTGCCCTTATGGCCAACCCAGGGATGCTGTAGCGCTCACCCCGTATCCCACTCCACTGGGTTCCTGCAGTCACTTATCTACCCAAACCTCCAGCTTCCTTCCCACCCAGCAACCAAGGGGAAATCAGGCCTCTGGAAGGGAGATTAGGCTGTCTGGAGCTTGCAAGCCTCCAGTTTCTTTCCCACTCAGAGACTTTCAGGAGTCAGCCTGCTCCAGAGCCCAATAACACCCAATTTACCTTTCTGTTTTTTGAAGCTTCAGAGAGGCACTCAGACTCAGCCCTGATTACAGGATCTTATACCTAGCCTTCTGACAACACAGGTGTTAATTATCCTTCCCCTGGAGTGGGGTGGAATGGAGATGTTATAGTATCCTTCCCTTGCCATGCCTACCAAGCCATACCCACCAAGCCACACCCACAGAACCGGTAGTAAAAAAAAATTGGAATTCACCACTGCTGCAGAGACACTGGGTGGGAAGAGGCTGCAGAGACCCTGAGGGGCAGGAAGTGGAGTATGGGTGCCTCAAGAGATGGGGTTAGCCTTGGGAGGTCCAGGGCAGGCAACCCCTACCCTGAAGCAACCTGCACAGGTAGGCTTCAACTTACAACAGTTCTTTTAGTGACCGTTCAAACTGAAAAAAGTGACTGATGACTGTTTTTCACATTTACAACTGCTGCAGCATTCCCATGGTCACATGATCAAAATTCAGACGCTTGGCAACTGACTCATATTTATCATGGTTGCAGTGTCCCGGGATCATCTAATCCCCTTTTGTTTGTTTGTTTTATTGTTTGTTTTATTAAATTTATATACCGCCCTACTCCCGAAGGACTCAGGGCGGTGAACAGGCACAGAATAAAATACATAAATATAAAAGTTAGAAACATAATTAAAACCAAATTAAATAATTTAGCCCAAGACAATTAAAAATCCCAATAATTTAAAACAAATTAAAATTTCAATTTAAAAATTTAAAAGAAAGGGGAGAAAATTAGGCCAGGCCGGCTTGCTGGAATAGGAGGGTCTTAAGAGCACGGCGGAAAGTGCGCAGATCCGGGATCCTCCGTATCTCCGGGGGGAGCTCGTTCCAGATAGTGGGTGCCCCCACAGAGAAGGCCCTCCCCCTGGGGGCCGCCAGTCGACACTGCTTGGCTGACGGCACCTGGAGGAGCCCCTCTCTATGACAGCGTACCAGCCGGTGGGAGGCTGTTTGTGACCTTCTGACAAGCAAAGTCAATGGGGAAGCCAGATTCACTTAACAACCGTGCTACTAATTTAACAACGGCAGTGATTCACTTAACAATGGTGGCAAGAAAGGTCGTAAAATGGGGCAAATTCACTTAACAAATGTATCACTTAGCAGTTGGGTTCAATTGTGGTCGTAAGTCAAGGACTACCTGTACTCCACTTAACATCATTAAGGGCACTAATTTAAGAGTTGCATCAGGGAGAGTAGGGGTCGTTAAGTGAGGCAATGTTGTTTAATGGCTAAGGCAATATGTGACAAATAGGCAGGCTCCATCATGGTCATATCTTGAGGACTACCTATAGTTGGTATTAGATTTTGAAGATGGGGCTTTGGTCATTTGGCTTTATGCCATTGTTTTGTTGAATATATTCTAAATGCTTTAAGATAACCAGTTTCCTATTCTTTTAAAATGCACATAAATGTAGTGTATAATTAATCTCTTATTTTCACAATGTTTCTTTTAGCAGAATTCAAGAGACGATGTTATAATGGTGTAATTTATACCCCATGAGTAAAGATGTAATTTTGAGAAAATTAAGAATTATGTTCCATTGAATCAGACTATAGGGACAAATGAACAAATTAAGAATAATAATAAACAGCATATTTAAAATTAACAGGTATTTAAACTATTGGTTCAGTATTTTAAACTATTGGTTCAGTATTTTAAACAGTGGAATCACAGCTTACAAATATTTTCCGGGGCAGGACAAAAATAAAGTTATTATCATTAAATATAACAGAACTCCTTGTTCTGTCCTTTACCTTCCGACAAACAATGTGCTTGGCAAAAGAGGAGAAGATTTTGTTAGACCTCTCACCTTTGGCAGAATAAGATTTCCAGTAAATGTAAGGGTATTTAAGATATCCCATTGTCACTATCATGTGCCTCATTAAAAGTTTGTCATTTGTCACAGAAAAGCCTCATTCATATCCTCTGCCAGTTCAAGCAGTCTATACTAGCTCCCACAATAATATATATTCAAATGCCATTATATTTTTTTTGCGAGGTTCTTTGCTAGTTTGCAAATCCTTGGACTTAGATGCCACTTGGATAGAGAGTCTGGTGAGATGACTTGGGTAACATCCTGCAAGATTAAATGTGGTTACAAGTAGCCCTCAACTTACAATTATAATTAGGACCCAGAACTTAATGCGGTCATTAAGTGAGTCATCACATGATCACATCCAATTTTATGGCTTTTTTCATTAAGCAAACCACACAGTCATTAAGTAAATCTAGTTTCCCCATTGACTTTGCTTGTCAGAAACTGGCTGGGAAGGACACAATGGAAATCCTGTGATCCTGGGATGCTGCAGCCATAAACACAAACTGGTTGCCAAATACGTAAATCAGGATTGTGTGACCGTGTGGATGCTGACAGTCATAAGTGTAAGGATTGATCATAAGTCACTTTTTTCATCACTTCAAACAGTTGCTAAATAAATGGTTGTAAGTTGAGGGCTACCTGTATTCTGAATGTGGAAAAGACATTAGATTTCTAGCCACAGAGAATCCTAGAGAAAAAGGATTGTGTTGTTTCCTTTTAACTGAGATTCAGGACTAGGCATGGCACAAAAACAGTATCAGTTGCCTTAAGATCTGGATGGAGTGTTATCTATTCTCATTTTACGGGCCTGGCCTTTGGTTCTTCCCATTATGTGTTATTCAAGTTTTCTCTCTCTTTCTGCTCTTTAACATCTGCCTGAAGCTTCTAAAAAGCTAAAATTTTTCGGTTCGGGATTGGGTATAACCATTATGCTAATAAAACTAACCATACCCAGACCTGACTCAGCTCTTAACAGCACTGTAAAGAGTTGGACTGATCACAACAAATGAAATTAAAGCCCATGGGGCAGAATAGGTCATCATAAGTGAGTATCTGGCTCACTCCCATATCCTAAATTTGCTCTGGATGGGGTTGTACTCCCCTTGAAAAAGCAGTTTTGTGATGTGGAGATCCTGTCTGCTCTCAATAAATCAAATCTTTATTACAGAGACCAGTATAATACCTTGGTCTTTTATTCTTTGAATAGTGGGATGATGATACTGCGGCCAAGTATCGGACTCTCTAACAGCAATCAGAACTTGAAATGATAAATCCAAAGAACCAGCCTCTCTCAGTTCAAATTAGCAACCTTTATTTATTTATTATTTATTTATTTGTTTAAATTTCTATACCGCCCTTCTCCAATGTAGGACTCAGGGCGGTGAACAGCCAAAGTAAAAACAAGACATACATACAAACATACAAAATCTAAAAACTGTTTAAAATAATTAAATAATTTTGGCCGTAATTAAAACATTCCAATTTAAAATCCATTTAAAATTTGACTCAAGCCAGCCCAGCTAGTTGGAATAAATGGGTTTTCAGGGCCCGACGAAAAATCCGGAGGTCTGTTATTATACGTAGCTCTGGGGGGAGGTTGTTCCAGAGGGCGGGCGCCGCCACAGAGAAGGCTCTCCCCCTGGGGGTCGCCAGCCGACATTGTCTGGCGGACGGCACCCTGAGGAGGCCCACTCTGTGGGAGCGTACTGGCCGGTGGGAGGCTATTGGTGGCAGAAGGCGGTCTCGTAAGTACCCCGGCCCTAAGCCATGGAGCGCTTTAAAGGTGGTCACCAACACCTTGAAGCGCACCCGGAAGACCACCGGGAGCCAGTGCAGCTCGCGCAGGAGAGGTGTCACGTGGGAGCGCCTCGTCGCCCCCAAAATCCCCCGCGCGGCCGCATTCTGGACCAGCTGGAGCCTCCGGGTGCACCCCAGGGGGAGCCCCATGTAGAGAGCATTGCAGTAGTCCAGGCGGGAAGTGACGAGTGCCTGAGTGACTGTGCGTAGGGAGTCCCGATCTAGAAAGGGGCGCAACTGGCGTATCAGGCGAACCTGATAAAAAGCCCCCCTGGCCACGGCCGCCAAATGATCTTCTAACGACAGCCGTGCGTCCAGGAGGACGCCCAAGTTACGAGCCCTCTCCGTGGGGGCGAGTGATTCGCCTCCAATAGCCAGCGATGGCGTCAGCTGGCTATATCGGGACGCCGGAAGCCACAGCCACTCGGTCTTGGAGGGGTTGAGTTGGAGCCTGTTTCTCCCCATCCAGGCCCGCATGGCCTCCAGGCACTGGGACATCACTTTAAGGGCATCATTGGGGTGGCCTGGGGTGGAGATGTACAGCTGGGTGTCATCAGCGTACTGATGGAACTCCACCCCGAAGCCACGGATGATCTCACCCAGCGGCTTTACATAAATGTTGAACAGAAGGGGCGAGAGGACCGACCCTTGTGGCACCCCACAAGCAAGGTGCCTCGGGGTCGACCGCTGCCCCCCTGTCAACACAGATTGCGACCGGTCAGAGAGGTAGGAGGAGAACCACCGCAAAACGGTGCCTCCCACCCCCAACCCCGCCAACCGGTGCAACATGATACCATGGTCGATGGTATCAAAAGCCGCTGAGAGGTCTAACAGGACCAGGATAGAGGAGCAACCCCTATCCCGGGCCCTCCAGAGATCATCCACCAATGCGACCAATGCCGTTTCCGTGCTGTGCCCAGGCCGGAAGCCGGACTGGAGCGGGTCTAGATAGACAGCTTCATCCAGGTACCGGGGAAGCTGTTGCGCCACCACACTCTCAACAACCTTCGCAATGAAGCGAAGGTTGGAGACTGGACGATAGTTAGCCAAAACAGCCGGATCCAGAGAAGGCTTCTTGAGGAGGGGCCTCACCACCGCTTCTTTCAAAGCGGCCGGCAGGACCCCCTCACTCAAAGAAGCGTTAACAATCTTCTGGAGCCAGCCTCGTGTCACCTCCCGGGAAGCCAGTACCAACCAGGAGGGACACGGGTCCAATAAACATGTGGTCGCGTTCAGCCGTCCCAGGACCCTGTCCATGTCCTCGGGAGCCACAGGATCAAACCCCCCCCAGATAACACTCTCAAGACCTGCCTCAGTCATCCCGTCTGGACATACCCAGTCAGAGGCCAGCCCTTCCCGAATCTGAGCGATTTTGTCATACAGATACTGCACAAAATCCTCAGCTCGACCCTGCAAGGGGTCATCCCGCACTTCCAGATGGAGGAGGGAGCGGGTCACCCTAAACAGGGCGGCCGGGCGATTATCTGATGACGCGATAAGAGCGGCAAAATAGCTAGTTTTCGCCGCTTTTATCGCCACTAGGTAGGTCTTAATATGAGACCTCACCAGTGTTCGGTCAGGTTCGGAGCGGCTGGTCCTCCAACTACTCTCCAGGCGTCTTTTCCGGCGCTTCATCTCCCTAAGCTCCTCGGAGAACCAAGGAGCTAGGTGAGTTCGGTGCCGGGTCAGAGGCCGCAAAGGCACGACTCGGTCCAAGGCCCCGGCAGCCGCACTATCCCAGGCGGCCACCAGGTCTTCAGCCGAGTCATGAGCCAGAATCTCAGGAAATGGCCCAAGCTCCATCTGGAACCTATCAGGGTCCATCAGGCGCCTGGGGCGGAACCACCTGGTCGGTCCCGCCTCCCTGCGGCAGGGTGCAGCGGTTAGAAAGTCCAGTCGAAGGAGCGAGTGGTCAGACCATGACAAGGGTTCGATGGCTATATCCCCTATATCAAGGCCACTCAACCACTGACCAGAGACAAAAACTAGGTCCAGAGTGTGTCCTCCTGTGTGAGTGGGGTCATGAATTAACTGAGTAAGGTCCATGGCCGTCATGGAAGCCATGAACTCTCGAGCCACCTCAGACGTTTCACCGATAGATGGCAGGTTGAAATCCCCCATGATGGCAATTCTGGGGGTGCCCACCGCCACCTCGGCTATAACGTTAAGGAGCTCGGGCAGGGCCGTTGCCACGTGGCAGGGAGCCAGGTACGTGACCAACAGGCCCATCTGTACTCCACGACCCCACTTCACAAAGAGGGACTCACATCCGGCTATCTGTGGAACAGTTGATTAAGTGAAAGTTGATTAAGTGAAAGTTATTAAGTGAAAGTGACAACACAAGGATTCCAATCAATACTATTATCTTCAATTGAGATGTCTATATAGAAGCAATCCTAAGCAGCTAGAATCAGCTTTTCTTTCTCATTTTTTTAATGTAAAGGAAATGACACTTCTCTCTTTTGCAAAAGAGGGACAGTTTATACCAGTAAATGGTGGTAGAAATGGCTACCAGCTTCCTTATTATTGTGCGAACAAGTTGAGTATTTATGAGATTCTCTATCATTCAGGTCATGGTTATTCAAAGGTGCATTTTCCAAAAGGCAACTGGATTTTTTTTCTTCTTTGAAAACATTTTGCTTCTCGCCCAAAAACCTTATTTAGTTCTAATGGAAGGATTTAAATTCTTTGCAGTCATCTGGTTAGCTCTCTGAAAGCTTTTTGCCCTAGCAAAAGGAACAGGAGAAAATAGTCTATCTGTATCAGAATCCTGCTAAATTCATCATATTGATCCTGACGCTATGTCATGTGAATATACACATACACACAGGGTTTGTTTTAGTGGTGGTGGTTGTTTTTGTAGGATGAAACAAATTCATGTCAACCTTTCTTGAAGTTTATTAATAAAAATATTCTTTTCCATGAATTGTCCAAAATGCTTAACTACTTCAATACTATTTTAGTTATGTTCCCAATTATTGCAGATGATTCACAACTGAAATAACTTGATCATATTTTAAAGCTTTCTGGATTTGAATACATATAATTATAGTCTAGATAAACTCATCGAAAGAAATAACTTTTTATGTTCCCTCACCTTATGTTGTAAATGTCTTTTTGTTATAAAAAAAAATGCCTAAGGAGTTTGAGCTTCTGGACTGAGTTCACACAATTTGCCAAAGCATAAATAAAAAACTAGGCTAGGATCTAGGTAACATTTGGGGGAACGGAAGGGAGAAAAAGAATGGGTAAGGCAATATTGGAAAGTAGATTCATCTATGTTGGACAGGATGTTAATTGGAGTCTGGGAGTTTCTTTGGAAGATTTCCATCTCTCCTCCATTGCTCAAAATTTGCCTGCCTGAAATGGCCACATAGCCTTTTGAGCTTTCCTGATATAACAGTAAAAATGGATTTGTAAAAGATACAATGTTTAAAAATACAACGGCAACCTGAAGAGGGAACTTCTCCCCGCTGTAGCAAACGCGGCTTAGGATTCTTCCTCCCTTTCCTTGAGAGACGAGCACTCTGCACATCCTCAGAGGCGCTCTCACGCCGAAGCTTGGGCGACGACCACCACCTCCTTCCCGCCTCCCACCCTCCAATTCCCACCCCCTTCTCCACCCCTTCTCTGAGGCCGCGTGGGTTACCTGCGGGGGCGGGGCGGCCTCGCAGAGCAGGCAAGAGCGGATCCCCTTGCACCCGCAACCCCCGGCCTCTCCGAAGCCGCCTCCATCTCCTGCTGCTGCTGCTCCTCCTCCTCCTCCTCGCCTTTTAGCAGCCTCCATCCTACCCGACCCCGGTAGCTTTTGCCGCCGTCGGGCCCCCCCTCCGCGCTTCCGGTTCGCCGAGCCCCGGCGGTGGCAGCAGAAGCAGCACCAGAAGGTTCTGGCGCCCGCCTGAGGTAAGGCTCAGGCCGAGCACGGCGAGAGATGGGCTGGCGCGGAGCCCGGGGGCGTGGGGACAAGGGCCGCCAGCCGATGGGGGCGTTAAGCGAGCGCGCGCCCGGCGGGAAATATTGAGGCGAGCCGCCTCCCTCTCCGGACTTTTCTCCTCAAGGCCCTACCGGCCGCCTTGACTCTGGAGGAGCGATGTTGTGGCGGGAAACTCGTCTTCCCAGCAGCGCTTTGCGCGGCTTATCTGTAAGAAAGGCATCCTCGCCTCCTGCCGGGGCGTGATGGGAATTGTGGTCTCGAGGCCGGTCGAGCATTTAAAGATGCCGCTGCTCCTGCCTTTACCCTCCCCTTCTCCAGTTTTCCTCATCGCCGCCACACGGCGCCTCTTTCTCTCCGGCCTCGGATTTTTTTTTATATATATATATATAAAATCTGTCCCTCCGTAGTGATGTGATGTGATGTGTAATTTTGTTTACGTGTTGGTAGATATCGGTCTGTCTGAGGAGAGAGGGGTTGTTGTTGTTTTTTTTTATTGTTCAGTAGGGGGTTTAGGAAGCCGAGGCGGCAACCAGACCCTCAAAGCCTGCTCGTCTTCCTTTTGAAACAATAACCCCCTTTTTGAAAAAGACACATGCAGTTTTTCCCTCTTCCATCTCACTTCAGACTGAGGTTTTTTGCCTCAAAGATAAGACTCCGGCTCGATATTTTTTTTTCCTTTTCAGCATCTCCCTGCTGTTCCCCACCTCAGGCATATCATTGTGGTTGAAAACTGCTCTTTAAAAATAATCTTACTTCTCCAAGATTCTTAGGCATGTTCTATTTTTTCCCATACCTTTGAAACTGCCTATGCTCTGATTTGGTTCGTTTCAATAATAATACACACAAAGAAAGCACTGTTTATTGGGAACAGGGTGAGTCAAAGGTGCTCATCATTTGACACAAATCATCTACTATAAATGACTTGGAAATCAAAATAACCAATTATGATGATAATGCTTCCCAAAGCTGGAAAAGCTCCCCCATTTTAACCCAAATTCTATTCATTCCCTGCCTTTTGATGCTTTTCTGGTATGTCCAGAAGGGCTATCCAGATTTGTAAGAATGTTAGAGCTGAGATTAATTTTTTTAAGGGTCCATAATACAGGGATAGTGCTATATAATATATGCATGTATAAATTATGTGTTTCAGCCATGAATTTCTGAAAAACTATATAAGGCAACGTAAAGGGGGTAAGCAAAATTAAAATCAAAGAGGTGGGAGGGACTGTTAAGACCATTAACATCAAATCCTTGTTCAGTTTAGGAATTTGAATTAAAATATTTCAGAACTATGGCCCTTCAGTCTCTTTCTGTAAACATTGTGTCAATGGAAACCCACCATTTTTGGAGGATAAATATTTTTACTATCAAACTCTCTTACATTGTTTTTCCTGGCATTTAAAGATTCTTACTCCATGTTTTTGCACTATGAAGTGTTTTAAGTTCTGACCAACTGTTGATCCACCTTCTTCGTTCTATTTCTTCATAATTGCTATCAGATCTCCTTTCAGTTGTTTTCTGTTGGGAATAAACATACAGTACAGATTTCCCTCAGATATAAAACTACATTTTTAGTCCTTTGATCCTTCTTGTTGTGTTTCTATTTGTTTCTGTGAATCTTCTTAAAATATAGTATCTGCAACTGGACACTGTACATGAAGTAGAGTCTGAGGAAGGCAGAATATAGTTGCTTTGGCAACTACTGCTTCTGTTGCTGCATTCTGAATTGCATTTCCCTTTGGAGCTGTATCATGTTGATTCATATATAGTTTACAATTAACATTCCCAAATCATTTCCGTATGTTCTAGTATGAAGTCAAGAGATCATGTATGTGTGTATTTTATTTCTTTTTTATAAGTGAAGAAATTTGCATTCATCTTTATTAATTTTCATTCTAGTTTGAACCCACTTTTATAGCCTATTATTCATTTTGAATTATGCTTCTTCTGCATTAGTTCTTTCATTCAATTTTGTGTTAGTTATTGTAGATTCTTCTGGTTCCTTAAATGATGGATATATATATATATCCATCCTTAAATGATGGATATATATATCCTGCTGTGGAAAAGAGGTGTAATATTTTTTCAGAAACTTGTTTCCTCAGCCATAACTCTGAACAACTGCCAGCTAAAGAAAAACATTTGTCTCTATGCTATAAAGATAATGAAATATTGAAAAATGTTGTTAGAAAACTAAAGAAAGCATCTTAGAAGCTTTAGGAAGATCTTTACATATGTTAGCAAAAGTATGGCTTCTGAAATTGGAAGGAATTAGGACAGAGTTGGGATGATATCTGTTTATAGAGATTAGAATAGAATTGGAATTTAATGATCCTGAGCTCTGTGACAAGTATTTTTCTGCTTGAGTTGTATTTCTCTGCGGCCTGATTTCAGTTTAAATTTCAGTCACAGGTATAGCTTCAGATGTTGATCTGGGTCCAGATTGCCTGTATATCACTACTATGATATAAGTTTCTTTACTAAAGTGTGGAAAATAATCATGTGTAAATAGAATATTCCATCCCTCATCATATTGTACTTTTATTTACTTTAATTTAAAAAATGGATATTAATTGTAAAAATAACAGGTTGAAAAGCAAAATTCAACGTTGTTTCCTTCTGTTATTGCCACCAAATATGAAAAAAAACGATCCAATCTGATATTGCATTTCCAGCCATTTTTACAAAATGCAATATCTATTTTGGCACTCAACACTGTGTAATATACCACCAATAGAACATCTTATGCCATTTTTTTAGGTGTAATATTGATGGCATATTATCTGTTTTTCCTTTGTTATCCCCATGGTTGCATATTTTTGATCTGTTTGGATTCTGCATTCATTGAACTACATAATCTTTGACTTGTTCATTTTCTGAATCATATTTATTTATTTATTTATTTATTTATTTTATTGGATTTATATACCGTCCTACTCCTGAAGGACTCAGGGCGGTGAACAGCCAAAAAGATAAAACACACAAACTACAAAATTTAAAAGACAATATAAAAACCCATTAGATAATTTGGCCCAAAACAAATTAAAACACCCCTAATATTTTAAAACAAATTTACAATTTACAATTTAAAAGGGAAGTTAGGCCAGGCCAGCCTGCTGAAATAAAAAGGTCTTGAGGGCACGGCGGAAGGTGTGTAAATCCGGGATCGTCCGTATCTCCAGGGGGAGTTCATTCCAGATGGCAGGTGCCCCCACAGAGAAGGCTCTCCCCCTGGGGGCTGCCAGTCGACACTGTTTGGCCGACGGCACCCTGAGGAGCCCCTCTCTGTGAGCGTACTGGCCGGTGAGAGGCTACTGGTGGCAGAAGGCGGTCCCGTAAGTACCCAGGTCCTAAGCCATGGAGTGCTCTAAAGGTGGTAACCAAAACCTTGAAGCGCGCCCGGAAGATCACCAGGAGCCAGTGCAGCTCACGCAGGAGAGGTGTTACATGGGAACGCCACGTCACTCCCATAACCACCTGCGCGGCCACACTCTGAACCAGTTGGAGCCTCCGGGTGCTCCTCAAGGGGAGCCCCATGTAGAGAGCATTACAGTAGTCCAGGCGGGAAGTGACGAGGGCATGAGTGACCATGCGTAAGGAGTCCCGATCCAGAGAGGAACGCAACTGGCGAATCAGGAGGACATGATAAAAAGTCCTCCCGGCCACAGCTGTCAAATGCTCTTCTAAAGACAGCCGTGAATCCAGGAGGACACCCAAGTTGCGAGCCCTCTCTGTGGAGGCCAATGACTCGCCCCCAATAGTCAGTGATGGCACCAACTGACTATATCGGGGCGCCGGAAACCACAGTCACTCGGTCTTGGATGGGTTGAGCCTGAGTCTGTTTCTCCCCATCCAGATCCGCACAGCCTCCAGGCACCGGGACATCACTTCAAGGGCATCATTGGGGTGGTTCGGGGTGGAGATGTACAGCTGAGTATCATTAGCATACTGATGGTACTTCACTCCAAAACCACGGATGATCTCACCCAGTGGCTTCACATAAATGTTGAACAGAAGGGGCGAGAGGACCAACCCTTGTGGCACCACACATATAAGGCACCTCAGGGTCGACCTCTGCCCCCCTGCCAACATAGACTGCAACTGGTCGGAGAGAAAGGAGGAGAACCACCGCAACACGGTGCCCCCCACCCCCAACTCTTCCAGCTGGTGCAGCATGATACCATGGTTGATGGTATCAAAAGCCGCTGAGAGGTCTAATAGGACCAGGACAGAGGAACAACCCCTGTCCGGAGCCCTCCAGAGATCATCAACCAACGCGACCAATGCCGTTTCCATGCTGTACCCAGGCCTGAAGCCCGACTGGAATGGATCCAGATAAACCGTCATCATCAATATCATCAACAATTTATAGATAAGAAGATCCAATATATTATCTAAATTTTGTGTAGTAAGCTTTTTAATTCAGGAAAATCTCTAAGTATCCTACCTAGAGCTGCCTATATTCAATTTCAGATAAAAAAGTAAAAAAATTTACACTCATTAATATTGACATTCTAAATTGTAAATAACAATTGATATACCTCTTTTTATCAACAATACTCTAAGTTACCTAAACATTAGAGTGTTAATAATTTTCAATCAATATTGTACAAATGTCACTGTACTGAAACAATATAATATATTATGATTTACAAGAACATAAGAAAAATAAAAGATAATAGGAAAAACTATACATAAATGTATATGTGTGTTTATATTCCTTGATTTACTACCATTCATTCAGCAACCATTTTAAATTGCAGTGGTGCTGAACAAAGAGACTTATTACCTGTGCCCAAAGTTACAGCTATTGCAGCACCTCCAGTGTCATGGGTGCTTGGCAGTCTACCTGT